CCAAAAGGAGAAGCGGCGATGGAAGATGATGATGATTCTCTGATAGGTGATAAATAATCGTTGACAGCAAAACCTGGTTTACTACAGGGCATTTTAACAATCCATTTTTCATTTCAAATTATCCACACACATAAGTAGTACAGCAAGTCTGTCGACAAAATGAGCAGTTTCTTACTGTAGTTTAACACAATCCCCTTCAGCAAAACAAGCTAAGCGTAAGCAAAAGCACGTGGCCAGTGATAAATTGAATAAGGACTTGACTGAGTATTGCATTGGAGATGGAATATTTCATAAAGATGGAATTAGCTAAAATTAACATTTTCTCGGCTCTGTTCCTGATTATTATATGTTCTTCGCTATTTCATGTATCATTATTACTCAAGTGTGCGCCTCATCGGTTGTAAATTCACCTTGAAAACAGAGCACAAAACGGCTTAATTACAGACAACTCAATACACTTGATGTACAGGGTGACAGGATGATACCGACCCACTCTTCAGCTCCCAGTTTTCCTTCTTATTAACCCTGTCTGGGTCAGCGGATTGGTTTCCATTCAAAATTCTTTCAAACCATAACTTTGAACAAGATCTGTGCGACATGTGCAGAAGCGATGCACTACGATACAAAGCTGTGTGTAAATAAACAACTTCCGTAATGACTACTAATACAAGAACAAAAAATTCTATTTTCTTAAATTTGCCCTATTTCTTCTTGCTTTATCACTTCTCAGAAACATGACACTGTCCACGATTACAATCAAGAGGACAAAATGCATTGTTCTTAGTGGCTTGGGATACCTTAGAGGGACGCAAATCGACGCTCTGGAGAAGGTGACCGTCCTTTTTGATTTCGTCGATCAGCATCTGCTGCTGCTGGTTTGAGAGAGCCATCTCGAAGGCTTTGCTTAACAACTGCACGCTTTCTGCTATCTCCGATACTTCCTGTATGGTTGTGGGGGAAGCGGAAGGCGCAAGTTCGGATTGAGACTGCTGACCAATTTCAAGATCCGGTGGCTCATCGTCCCACATGGGTAGCAAATGATCAATTTCGAGTGGATCAATAAATACGATCTAAAGCAAAGCAGGTTCGGCATCGGACATTTTAAAAGGAAAGTAATATCTATAACATGATTACTCTGACAGTTAAACTTTTCAAATTAAAATTATTAAAAACGATAACCTTAAAGCAATATAAATTTACCACTCTAAAATATCAGGCTGAGAAGTGCTGCATTATACAGCCTTTACTTTAGTAAGAAAGAGCCTTATGTTAATAACCATATCATTTACTTTTATCTCAAAACACTGCATTTTTTTACCATAAACAGTGAAGTCCAAGTAAAAGAAATAAGCCAGATTTTTAACAGTACTTTTTTCAAAGCATTTAAGTAAATGAAACGAATTAAATCCATTCACAAATGAAACTGAATAATAACTAATTTATTCAAAAGAAATCTTTAAAAGTATTCAGGCTCTTTTAAAACAGTGGTACTGAACACTGAACGAAATTTACGCCATAACTACTTTGACAGGACCATGCAAATGAATTCAAAAATGGAAGGTCAAGCTACTTTACAATCAAAATTCAGTAAATGTCTGGGGATTGCAAGTTACCAAAACAATTTCAAAACAACGAATAAGGTTCAAACAGTACAAACAACAGCTTAAAACGATCCAGACACTTAACGACATACGACTACTAAACTTAATATTATAAAAATAACTGATTATTCATTGGAGACAGCATGAAGAAAAATTCAATCAAAATCTGTGGGATAATATAACGGCCCTAATCATTTCGCACGACGGTCTTGTCCGCAAAACTGATCTGCCTTAAGGGCACAAGAAAATTCTACCACGGTAGTGGACTGTTTCGGATGTGTACTTTATAAGATGCTTGCAAGTGAAATCCATCCTTAAATCCATCCTGACGCCAAATCCTATCGATCAGAAAATCCTATTTAGAGCTTAACGACAGCCACGGCTGGTTAAAGTACCTTACAGCAGTGGTGTAACACGGAGTGCCGCGAAAAATTCAAACTACCTTGACTGATACGACTGAGAACAAGTTTCAACTTTGTACAATAGCTGCAAATAGTCATAGGTGTCTCTCAAGAAACTTCGACCATGCAGAACAGTTTTAGCATTATGGCCTCATCCAATGATTGACGAATTTTTGTGCTTCAAACACGGTTACAGTCAAAGGTGATGATCCAAACAACTGTTTCATTCATCTATTTGCTTCGGCCTTTCCCTTGTAGTGAAACTTATTACCCGTAACCACGCTACTCAAAGAAGTATGATCTTGAACGTTAGGTGTTGCAAGACCCTCTTAGACTAAACTATCTGCGTCGTATGGTTTCATATCATTTGTAAAATAGTTGGAAATTTTTGCGCCTATCATTGTTATAATCTCATCCTCTATACCTCAGTCACTATTAGTCACTTAGTCACAAACATCCTGATTACCGCCTTACAAATATTCATTCTTATCATTATCTTTTTCGTCCTACTCATTATCCTCGCATCAACAACATCATTATGATTCACAAATTCATCATCAGCGTTCCCATTATCTTCGCTGTCATTATCGTAATCTCTGTTTTCCTTCCCCTCTTCATTATTACAAAAATTATTACATCAATCAGAAGTGTTTTTGAGAAATGGCGAGAAAGAAGACTCTCTGTCAAGGGCAGATTTACCCAGCTGCTAATCGTCCAAACCATGTCCTTCAATCGACCGGTTTAACGATGCCAAAAGAAAGACAGGTAATCTCTGCGGCTTAAATAGAAATCGACAACCATCGATTGCAGATTTACCGAAGGTAAACTGTTTTCAAGCAGGATCAAACAAAATGACCAAAACGAATAAGTAATAACAATATATCCGAATTAAAAACGCTCAGTAAAATGTGCAGCACATCTTATCATTCTTAATAGTTAATACATTAAAAACTTGTGTTAATACATTAACATACTTTCCGGCAGTTTAGAAAAACCACAGCAAAACTTAATAAACATACTAAATTTTGCAGTTCATATATGAAAGGAAAACAGATGAGTAATAGTCAGCAGTAGTAAATTACAACAGCTAAGTAACAGCGCAGTTATGTTACATTTAAAATCATAGACCTAAAAATTACATTTTTGCAACTGCTGCTACTAAATCTTTCTTGAAAGTAGGTTCAGCTCGATCCGAAAAGTTGCATATTATGTTTATAAAATTTATATGCTAAGTAGCCCTGTTAGCGATGAAGAAATTTTTGCCCAATAAAGAATTTAGGTAAACAGTTTAAAACGTAGTCAACAAATGGTCATGTGTGTACAAGCAAACTGAGAATTGCCAATTTGAGCATTGCATAAAAAGATGCAGGTATTGCTCGCCAATGAATGTAATTCATATGCATATGGTACCTCGTTTTGTAGGCGTAGCGTACATCAATATAAAAAATATTGACTGGTTTGCGACAACGAAAGAGAAAAATATACATTTTTTTCACATGCTTTAAAAAACTACTAAGCGATAAAAAATGTTACTTTTTCAGCCCTGAAGTGTTAAATAAAATGTATGTATCCGTTACTGTAGTTATGGTATAAATACCAGAACTTACATAGAGAGAATAGACAACTGTCTTTATTATAACCTTCCTTACTGTTTACAGGTATATCCACATTTGGAGAGCAACTGTGTTTCTTCTACGGCGCCGTTACCAATACTTCATAGCAAAAGCGTTGCACAGCTAAGGATGCAGTGAACGACACAAAATAGAGACCTCCTGTTTAGGCAAAGAGCTCGAGGTAATGATCATAATAAACACAAACAAGACGTATAGGATGAGGGAAGTGAGTCAGCTTAGCAACTTTCATGCACTGCATACTAATGTATTCCTGTAGATTTATTACTTGCGAACTCTACGCTCTGTAAGACAGTGGTTAATGTAAACTCAAAAACGGTATAGTTTAAAGTGGCTGCTGTACTAAATCAGTAACTATGCAGCTGTATACTGTATACGGACTCTACGTATGCCGGGGATATCGCTATCGCAAGAGCATATGCTTCAGCGTTTTTCTTATGAAACTGGCTCATTTCTGCATCAGAATTCAAGCATAGCGCCATACTTTAGTTTTTGTTAGGTTGTTTCTTGTAATAGAGGTCTGCTGCTCGAGTACACTACAGTCAAATATTTCGGTCTTCGGTCAAATCTTCACTCACTTCTCGCAATTTCATCGTTTGTATCGTTTATCGTTTTTACGGTATCTTTCACTTCTATTCCCTGGCAGTATCAGTGCTTGAACTATACTTCCAACGTACTCCATGGATCTTCTTTCATATGGCCAAACCTACGGGGGCTACTGGATTTTCTGAAATTGGTGATACATTTACAGTGTAGAATGTGAAGCTATTTTGGAAGTGGTCTCATTTTTGTTCACACCACCCATCCATCTGAGCATTTCCAGATTTCTACGGATTTCAGCTGTAGTTGCTGCCTTATAAAGGTGGCCAAACACTGCGCTCTGCATATAAGTACTATCGCTCTGACCGCTCTGTACTTGTTTCCCTGAAGCTTGATGGACATCTTATCGCGGGCGTACTGCGCCTCATCATTTCCAATTTGGGCTATATTTCTTAGACAAATTTCTTCATCTACTGTCGATTTCCTCGCTGTCTTCAAGGATGGAACCGAGTAACTTAAATTATTGGGTCTGGGTTTACTAACTGGCGAGCTTTCACTCTGTTCTTTCAACTGAAATAGCCCGTCATGTATTCTGAATTGCCTTTGCTGAGGCAAAGGCCGTTTCTCTCAAGGATCCATCTTCATGCCTCGTTGCTTGCCTTTACTGTTCATCTGCTTTCGGGACCGTATACCACAGATCTTTCATTGTCAAGTTTGTCGCTATAGAGTACAGAAATGAGCTCGAGGATTAACCTTGATCGATCCTTACCCAAACAAGGAATTCTTCTGGGAATTCACCGTTTGAAACTGTCTTTTTCACTCTACCGTGCATCTCCTTGGCAAGCAAGACATATTCTCCTGGCAACAGTTTCTTTCACATGCTCTACTAAATTATCTGCCTTAATATTCGATCAAAACCTTTTTCCAGGTCTGGGAACAACACGTTAATGTCCTTGCTATATGTTTCTAGGACTGATCCAGCGATTGAGCCATTAGTCTGCCGAAATATGAAAAACGGTCAAACACTGCACTCAGAGAGCAACATAAAACTCATAGCAACATAATGGCATTTGACTTAGTGTCTGACTCAAAGTTCGACTGCTATGAACACTCAATTTCAACTTTGCATTAAATGAAATAGAGATAAAACTGCTCAGTACACGTACGTCGTTTTCCATCACAGACAATGGCGGCCTAAAGCGAACCATCTTTAGACTCAGTTGGTCGAAAGCGGCTGGTGGATCGCCGGTCAAAACGCTTTTGCACATCTCAAGAATAGTCTGTCGGTCAGCTGGAAATTGCCTAGAAAACAAACTGAATTGTACAAGCGGCAAACACGTATCAAAAACATGCAAGCTCACTTACTCGTGATCATCAGACAACGGATATGATACAACGCTTTTATATGTATACGACGTGGACGCCTCTGGAAACTGTTGAGTTACCTGTTTCAAGATCTTGCTGTACTTATTCCAGTCCAATGGCTAAAACATAATTAATAAAAATTCGAAGCATTGGCTGTCATCGATCAAAAGCAGACTGCTGCGTACTACGGGAGGAAGTTGTTCATTCGCCGTCTCCCTTGGTGTCTTATTCAGAATCTCTGCTCCGCCACCGGATAACAGCAGCAGCAGAAAATTGATGTCGCTACGAGTGAATAGCGAAGGAGATGGGCTCTGTGATTCACTTGCAACCGTTCCAATTGCTTCCTGCTTTTCACTGGATCGCT